TGCTTTAGTGTAGCGGATCCTCTCGTTCCGCGGGCATGCATCAATGCGCAAGCGCCGCGAGCCTCGGCACCGAAAGGTGCCGCGCGGCCCTTTATGCGCGCGCTGCTGTGTGGCGGCCCTGATGCATGCGCGCGGCTGCGATGGAGGGATGCTAGGTGGAGTCGGCTGCGTGGCTGCAGGGCTGGCGTGGCTGTAGCACCTCCCAAGATGAAGCCCACCCACCGCTCCCCCATCCGGCACAGGACACCAATTGAAGTCACCTGGAGGCATAACGGAAAGAGAGCAAGCGGTTCAAGAGTTGAGCACGGCCGCTCGGCAGCGGCGTGACCCACACACCCTGCCTCCCCCCCCCCCCGCCGTTTCAAACATCCCGCGGAGGCGGCGGCTTGCGAGGGAACGTACCCGGGTTGTCCACTCGGTGGTTGTACGTCACATTGAGGGACGCGCACGAGAAAGGCGCTGGGGGTGCAGGGTGGGGGGGCTTCACGTCGGCGAGCAGCGCGCCCAGCGCCGCGCCCGCAGCGCCCATGACCCTTGGGGTCAACACTTCGCCGCTGACAAAGACGTCTATTGGTATGCGTTGAGCCGTCACTGCGGCACGGTGCTTGACATGCCCAGTCTGAAGGGCTTTGAAATGGATGCTGACGCGCGAAGCAGATTCCTGCAGCAAGCATGCGTGCTTGATTTGAAGGGTATGAAATAACGCGATCAAATCATGTGTCCAAAGACTGGGGTGCGTGATCTCGCTGATAAACACCCGAGTGACCCCGCCCGCGACACATACGGAGCGATCGGATCTGCAAAGCGAGCATTGCCGCAACAGGATCTCAGATAACGTAACAGCTCGCTTCAATCAAGCTGGCCCCGCGTGAGATGGCACTTTTGGGCGGAGCGTCGCGCCGCCAAACCGGTGCACAGCCTTGTTTGCTGACTGGCTTGCCTGTGAACCGTACCCCGCCCCGGCGGTGTATGCGGGGTAGTTTGTTGAACAGACATGGCATCAACATGCTTGGAAGGTGTGAATCAAGTCACCATCAATCTGGTGGACCTGACTTGCAGTCACTCTCAGATGGTTCGCCCGTCAGGCACGCCGCACTCGAACACGCGCACATGCACTTGCGGACGCGAGCCACGTGTGTGGGAGATGTGGCAAATATGAGAACACGACTTTGACCAGGGTCCTGGGCTATTTATCAGCAGCCACTGTCCAGGGCACAGGTCTCAGCAATAGCACGCAAAACTGCTCGCATGACACTGGCTACCTGCGACGCTGCTGCATGTCATCAGCCAGCCGATCCAGGTTGAGGGAAGATGACCATCACGGAAGCAGGCAGCAAGTCAACCCTTGCGCGACGACCACGCGTCGCAGCCTTGGCCCCCCCGCGCACTATGAATGTGGCGGTTGCGACCTGAAAGCCATCCACAGCTGGTTTATCAAGCGCAATCGGAACTGGAACAGGGTGCTCGTGCATGCATCCCTGTACAACAGCAGAACATAGGTTGACCATCAAGGCCGCGACGTCACATTGGCTGGGCAGTGCCTGTAGTGGCCGGCCGCGCCGTGGCCGCAGTGGAAGCGGTGCGGCGGGCACACAGGTGGTGACACTGGTGCATTGAACTTGCTGTGCCGACTGATGGGACGCATGTGCTGCCGCTGGCTGTATGCATGCGAGGGAGTAGCCAACATGATATCTGCCGACCTGGCCACTGGCTGCATCCCGATTCGCACTGTCATGGACGGGCGCCTTCACGCCTGCACGACGGCAATGGCATCAGGTGTGCTCACAGCTGCAGATATCTGCCGTGAAACTTTGATAGGCAAACAATTGGTCGTCTCAACGCTGCTACGCGACCCCTTGTCCTAGCCCATGAGATATCATGGCACCCTGGCAATGACCGGAGTGTCAGCCGTATCAATGCAGCCTACCGCGGTTAAACGGCAGTAAGGATACTCAATATCTTTACATTCATTGACTAGCCTTTGCGCTGCTTGTCGTACCGGGGCCAGCGCAACGATAGTGTCGACAGTATCATCTTCACAGCCACTACGGGCACCTCGAAGCCCAAAAGCGTGTTGCACAAGCTAACAGGTGACGGTCTCCCGTGAAGGAATGGCGCGTGTAAGACAGTCAGCTTCGTATGATCATAAGGACTGCGGCGTGCCCGCCGCGCAGCTCGCTTCCACATTGTGCCTCTGCTGCAAAAGCGCGTGACTGGGCAGCAGTCCTCTCCTTAACGCATGCCCACTCGCGCTCCCGACAGACAGAGACCGTCCATTCCACCGGTCTCCATCACACCCGGCGGGCGGGCAGCAGCTCGCCGCGCCGAGCGCGTGGAGCACGGTCCCATGGCGAAGCCCGTGGCGGCAAAACACGCGGCAGGGAGCACCACCAGTGGCAGCGCCCTCAGAGCGGCAGACGGGATCGCACACCTAGAAGAAGAGGGGCACAGACGCTGGAACCTCAGGGTGCGCGCACTCGCCGCCGGCGCTGGGCTGGCTTGCTCTTGCTCCGCAGTTTCTGGTGACTGCATCCGCGCCCAGTGCCTGTCGTTGGCACTGCCCACCTGTGCGGTTTCCAAACAGGATGCTGCCATTGCGCATCCACCATATTCGCCGCCCATCAACAGGCATGTGGCATGCATGCGCATGTAGACGCATGGATGCGCACGTGCGTGCGCGCGCGCACACACACACACATACACATACACACACACATAACGTACACATCCACCAACATACTCATAGCATTAACGCCGTCACTTGCTGCCACAGAACGTGCTGCCGGTGATGCGAGCGCACCCAATCACGTGGATTGTACCGCTGCTGCTGACGCTGCTCGTCGCCGCTGTCGGCACAACGGGCGTGATACTTGCCGCCCGCTGGGACGAGGCACAGCAAAGGACGCTTGCGGATGGTGAGTACATCGCGTTCAGCTGGTACCCCCGACTTTCTTTGCAGCAGGCTTTTGCTCTGTTGCACGTGCAACACCTGATCCGTTCATTTGGCCCCCTCTCAGTGCATGATACCGCATTTGACGTGCGCCTTTTCCAAACCGCAGGATTTGGTGACAGCACAGCGATCGGCATTCATGTGACCGTGCAATCGGTCATTGCGCCCATGTTGGCCTTGGTGACCCAGATATTGGAAACCCCCCCTGTGGCGGCTACCCCTGCCTGGTTTGGTAGAGATGCGAAGCGCCTGCTCAACTCGGTGAGTTGCTCTTGAGGACGTGCGGGTGCAGCAGCAGTGCCATGGCCATCCGTAATGAGGGCCCCTGCAATCGCAGGGTCAGCCGTGGCAACTTGGAATGAGGGTTGGCTGACAGTACAGGGCAGCGCAATCTCGAGCATCTCCCTTCGGATGTTCGAGCCGTTGGGTGCTCATGCCTGCAAAAGATTGTGCTTATGTGCATGCCACACACACACACACACAGACACACACACACACACACACACACACACACACACACACA